TGTGAAACATGATAATAAATGTAACAATAACAGGAAATGAACTTTGTTGATGTGATCGGTTTCATCTCCCTCGGAATGAATATTCAGCGGTAACGGTGGAGCTTGTGTTGCAGAAATAATATGTACAGAACAAAGTGTAATTGTCCCACTTCCGCTGGGTGTATGAGAAGAGACACCCGGTGTGTGAGCCCAGCGTGGGGCCACGTGGAAAGAGGAAGTGAGACTTGGAGGGGGTGAAGAGGAGGCGGATGTGGGGAAAGGTGCACAGAGAGATACAAGCTGATGGAGAAAGAGAGATCAAAGATAGCACCAAACATACACACACAGGGCCGGTGCACCCAGCACCCCGCTACATGTACACTTCATCACCCATGTGACTTCAGGAACGGGTCACTGCACTGAGCACACCATCAGGACTGGATTTACCGTGAACGTGGACCTGCCATCAGACATATACTTTATGTTAGCATGCATACATATAAGGGTCATGTGTAAGTATGACACTTCCAGATGTCTGTTCTTCCCACCTCTGACCACCAGGGCCGGGGCACTTTTCCTCCCCTTGGCCACCGGGGCACTTTTCCTCCCCTTGGCCACCGGGGCACTTTTCCTCCCCTTGGCCACCGGGGCACTTTTCCTCCCCTTGGCCACCGGGGCCGGGCACTTTGTTTTTTACAAACCGACACCAGAGCATTTTTCCTGCTCTTGGCCACCACTTCAGGGGCATTTCTTTCAACTCAGGAAGTGAAATCAGGTTGTCCTTCCCAACCCAGACAACTGATGCTGGGGCATTTCTCCCTCACACTGACCAAAATATTACAACTTCCCCTTTTACTGTCATGTTGATTGAGAACTACTCTGTTATAAATCACATGAAATCTTCAGCCCAGGGACAGGGTGTACCTAGGTCTGATGTCCATGAAGGTGACGTGGGTGGAGGTGGACTCACCTGTATTCCTATACCATCATCTGTACAGTAGGCGCATAATGTGTACTATGCATGTATGAATAACACCAAAAGTCATGACGTCTGGGTGACAGCACTGTTCTCCTTTGTCCTGCTTTTCATAAATGCCTCCTGAGGGTGTTCCAGTTCCGATGGAATCACTTGTTCTCCTTCTTATATGAGGGAACATTGAGGATTCATTTGCAAGCTTGAGGACAACTCTTGTGCCGTACAAAGAGATGAGATTCTATTTGGTGCCGAGCTTTATACCATTCTAACAACAACATTCTGAAGAAAATAAGAACTTGGCTTGTTTATGGCACATTTCTCTGTTGCTGTTGTCTTCCTAGAGAAAGGAAGGAACAGGCCAAGGAGCACTTCTGCAATCATGCCTGTGTTAGACTGAACATTTCCTTTTGTCCATTATTATTCTGCTGCATCGAATCTTCTATGTCTCCTAGATAGCAGAGACCATTGTCAGTAGAGCCTTTTAAATCTCTGCATGACTGGTGCTCAAGTTTTATGGAATAAGTCTTCTTGACTAGAAGACAGGATGGCTATTCGAGCTACAGATGCCCCACTGGAAAACCAGCATTGTTGAGTGTTTGGGCCTAGGCCTGATAGCAGAGCCCATTGTCATGCAGAGATTTCAAAGGGTCTACTGACTGGTGCTCGAGTTTTACAGAATAGGTCTTCTTGAATAGAAGACAGGACGGCTACTTGGGATACAGATAGCACCATAGCCACCAATGGATAACCAAGAACCTCCCGTATTTGGTTATGCTGAGCTTGGCCAATTTCCAAGCCCCTCTTGCCATATTCCTTCTTGCTACTTCCTCTACCCCAGGAACTTAAAAGAGCTCTAACTGATCACTCAAATCCCTGTATACCGTGAAAGACAAAATGGACTATTCAGAGACTAGTGCAGCTCACCAGAGAGCATTACAAAGCAATGGACAGCTTTGGCTGGTTCGCTGTGAAGCTATCACACAGGTGTGACAAGAAGCGCAGGAATGGAGGCACTAGAACCACCAGCATAGAAAAGATATATTGGGAAAAGGAATTGATTAAAAAGAAAAAAACTAAAATATGGAAAAAACTGCAATTAAAAAACCTCAAACTATGCCAAAAAAACCCACAAACTAACATTGAAAAATTACCTTGCAGTAGTAGAGTCCTTCGTGTCCTTTTCAGCCTGACATCTGCACCCTGGCCAAGATAAAAGTGTACGTCCCCTTCAGCCTGAGATCTGCACCCTGGCCAAGATAAAAGTGTACGTCCCATTCAGCCTGAGATCTGCACCCTGGCCAAGAATTTCAGCTGTTTGTATTACAGTGTACTCATTTGGGAAATTCCTTTTACCTCCTGTCATGTTTTACAGTTTTAAATTAAGAAGCAAAAATGTAAATCTGCCCAACTACGTCCTAGACCACAATGGCTTGGAGTCGGTTCTCTTCTAAGCTTGTAGGTCCTAAAATGGAGGGTTTCACGTTTCTTATTTTAACAAGATACAATTATTTAAAGTAGGGATGTCCCCATACCACTTTTTCAGGACTGCCCCTGATATCGGCAAGTACTTCCCCTCATGTACTTGCCGATACCAATTACAGATACTTTTTCTTAAAGGGACAGGTGACTTTAAATGATCCATAGTACAACTACATGTTATGTACTATGGATCATGATTTAACCTATTCATGTCAGCAGGGGAGAATTGTAACTCTATTGGTGTAATGTAGTGGAGGGTGTGAGCTGTATATATGTACTACATGTACATTACCCACATCCAGTACACTATAGCAATAGATTTACAGCTAGACCTGTCCCAGCTTCCCTCACTCACAGTTTCCCTCCGATCCATGTTGCCTCACGCGGTGCCTCTTGTAGTCGGCGCTGGGCAGGATTGCTGCATCGCGTCTCGGTGCTCAGCTTGTGGGAGGCGCTCACAATTCTGCCCTGCTAACATGAATAGGTTAAATCATGATCCATAGTACATAACATGTAGTTGTACTATGGATCATTTAACCTATTCATGTCAGCAGGGGAGAATTGTAACTCTATTGCTGCAGTGTACTCTATATGTAGTACATAGTACATGTATGTTACACACGTCCAGTACACTGCAGTCTGCAGCAAAAGAGTTACAATTCTCCGCTGCTAACATGAATAGGTTAAATGATCCATAGTACATAACATGTAGTTGTACTACGGATCATTTACCCCATTCATGTAAGCAGAGGATAATTGTAAATCTATTTCTGCAATGTATTCTATATGTACTGTATATGTGCTACATATAGAATGCACTGCAGGAGTAAATATACAATTCTGACCTGCTAACATGAATGGGTTAAATGTTCCATGGTACAACTACATCTTATGTACATATTAATGTACTATGGATCATTTAACCCCTATGATAGATAGTTTTTTGTGTGAACAAGAACAAAGCCCAGGCCCCGTCTTACTCACTGTTGCCTCGATCGCGGTGCCTCACACGTGAGGACATCGTCGGCGCTGAGCTGGAGAGGAGCATCACGTCACTGTTGCAACGGTGGGCGGCACTCCAGGTGGGGTCCCAATTTAGGTGGCCGGCAACTGCCTGGAGCGCCGCCCACCGGAGCAGCAGTGACGCGACGCTCGGCGGCAAGTTAAAAAAAAAACATAGCGCAAGCTTCGGCACTTTGTATCGGGGCATTTTGACAAGTACTTGTCAAAATGCCCTGTATCAGTCCTGATACCGATGCTAGTACCAGCATCAGGACAACCCTAATTTAAAGCCTAAATAGAACTAACATCTAATTCATGGAAGTTGTAATTCCACAAGACCTGGAGGGCTGGAGTTGCCCACTCCTGACTTAGGGGGACATCACCACAACACTAAGCAATGAGACAGAGTGGCACTGACAACATGACCTCAGTGCCGCTCTCTGCATCATTAAGGACTGTGCACGAAGAAGAGGACATATAACCTCACAAGGCCAGCCTGAAGACTAAGAAAAAGTAGAAATGGGAACAAAAAAGTTAAAACACTGGAGGGGGGTGGAGTTGAGCTTTATTATAAGGTGCCCCCTTGGCACTAGTGTCATATGGCATAGAAAATAAAAGCACAGATCTTTGTCTAGTCGTCTCCTTACTGACTGCTCTAGTCCAAGCCAAAACAGAGGTGAGAAAGTGGTAGAAGTCACTCCTCTGACAAATTCAGCTGTGTAAGTTAAGCTTTAGCTAGTGAGCTCTGTAAACAATATACCTCAATTGTGTTGAGACAAAAGTAAAAACAACCCTGTCTCACCTGGTGAACTGTATACATTTGAAGAACTGAACCAAATTGGTGTGTCTGACCATGACATTTCTCAGGCCGACTTGGCACGGGAGGGTCTGCCTTCATTATTACCATCTGATCAGTCTTAGGCACGGGAGGGTCTGCCTTCATTATTACCATCTGATCAGTCTTAGGCACGGGAGGGTCTGCATTCATTATTACCATCTGATCAGTCTTAGGCACGGGAGGGTCTGCATTCATTATTACCATCTGATCAGTCTTAGGCACGGGAGGGTCTGTCTTCATTATTACCACCATCTGATCAGTCGTAGTCAAGTTATAAGTAAAAAAACAGAGACCAATGTAAACAAAAACTCATTCTTTTAATCACGGTTTGTGAAATGGGAACAACTTGATACACAAAGACAACAACAAAAACACACGGAATAATAAAATCAGAAAACTGGGCTCCGTATAGGGACGTATCCTAAACACACACAGATTGGAGATGATGGGGTTCTGTTGTCCTGCGTAGGTCGCACTGAGCGAGGGATACAACGTGGGAGTACTGCTCTATACAGTAGTGTACGGACACGGGAAATACTCTGAAGATTGTGTTGTGGTAAAGCCTCTTACCAAGCAATAACTACACGCTGCATTTCAATTCCATGACAGGATATAAACCAGACCAACCTTCGGTCTTAGATTTCACCGACGTCCCCCGGAAACAATCTGCGTTTCTGACAGATTCTGTATCCATTCTTCTCCTTTGTTTTTGGGAAGTTAACTGTCCCATCTGCTCTTTTTCCGCTTTGGAGGATCTGGAACGGCAAAAGTTTCACTTTTCGATTCTTTTCGGCTTTCGCCATCATCCCGCGATTCCCTGCGGTTCTCAACGTCTCGGGGGCTCTCTTTTCTGCCTTCATGGAGACTATCCCTTCGACTGTCTCCGCGGCTGTCTCTCCGGCTGTCGTCCCTTTCGCGAGAGCTGTCCCTCGGTCCTTCGCTATCTCGCGAGCTCTCCCTTCGACCCTCACTATCCCTTCGGCCTTCTCCGTTACGACTGTCCCCGTGTCTGCTACTGCTGGAATGCCGGTGTCCTTCTCCATGGCGGTGCCCTTCTCTGTCGCGATGTCCGTCCCCGTGTCTGCCTTTTCCTTCGGTGTACTTCTCTCTTTCTCGGCTTCCGCTGCGCTCTCTGCCGCCACTGCTGCTGTCTTTGGCACTAAATTGGCTGGGGGAGGGGAAACTGGGAGCACTCACAGGGGCATAAGTACTGGCAATACTGCTTAGTGTTCCACTGCTGGTAAAGCCTGGAATGGATCTAGGAGGAGGAGGAGGTGGAACCAAATCTTCTGCATGTAGTGAACTTTGTGATGGGGTGCTGGGTACGGAGCTTAAACTACCAGCGCTTGTCCAAGCACCAGAATTGATTGTGGATGTCCCGGTTTTCTGGGTGTTCAGACTGGCAGCGACAAAGTGATTTTTGTACTGAGACTAGAAATAAGATTGGAAGAGCACAAATGATTGACTCCGAAAATGTTTTACAAAAGTTTACAACCAAGTGTAATCATTCCATCGCTCACCTGAAATGCAGCCTTCATGGCGGACAGTCTGTCTCCCATTGCTCCACCCGTGGGCTTGAAGGCTTCATAGTTGCTCATCACATTCCCAGTCACGTTGCGTTCCTACAAGAGGATGGAGAAACTTACTACAAGGATCAGGCCAATCAATCTAGCCCGTGGCCTGCAGCAGCACCCTTGGGACCTCAGTAAACAAGGAGGATGGAGAAACTTACTACAAGGATCAGGCCAATCACTCTAGCCAATGGTCTGCAGCAGAACCCTTGGGACCTCAGTAAACGAGGATGGAGAAACTTACTACAAGGATCAGGCCAATCAATCTAGCCCGTGGCCTGCAGCAGAACCCTTGGGACCCCAGAAGAGGGGAGGGAATACATGACTTTTAGAAGTTTGACCGGCCCACTGGTGGTCACGTGTTTTTATCTCCTTTGACTAATCGGTGGGAAAAGTGTGAAGATGAATTGTTGCTTACCGTATTTTCTGATCCAAGTCCCGGGCGCTCTCTATAGCCCAGGCCGCCTCCGCCTATGTTCAGCTTCTTGCCTTTTCCAGCCTTAAAGCGGGACTTGCGAAACCAAGCATTCTGTGCATGGAAAGAAAAGGACAAATGATCCAAATATTGGAGGAAAATATTGGAGATGCTCAGGAATCCTCAAATTTTGGCCATACAGTGCATCTGCTCTTATTTCTAGGCGAGGAATATTTCGATGGTTTGAACAGATGCCCCTGATACATGGCCACTGAGTTACCTGCATAGCCAGTTCCAGAAGGTCCTTCGATACATATTGGTTGGCTCCTTCCAGATTCCTCACCAAATCCCCTGCAAAATTGCTGTCTTTTGGTGTCAACAGAGTATAAGCCACACCCTTCTCTCCCGCTCTCCCTGTGCGACCAATACGGTGAGTGTGTGTGTCAATATCTCGTGCCACGTCATAGTTGATAACGGTCTTGATTGATGGAATGTCCAGGCCTCGGGCTAACAGGAAAAGAAGGCATTGTAGGAAGGGAAAAAAACCTTTGACGTTTGACAATCTGGTATTTACTGTAACAGGTGTCTGTTCTGTCACACTCATAGGAGGCTAGGCTATGGTTAAGAGTAGGGATAGCCTGAGCAGGTTAGGTTTCACAAAAGGTTTAGGTGAGAGGTCACAAGGGGTTAGTCTCCGAGTTAGCTGTAATAGGTTAAATCAAGCCAGCAGTCACTGTCAACTTACAAGGTAAAGGGGGCTTCAACTGCAGCTCCTGATATCAACAAACGGCAGCACATAATGTTCAGTATGGGCAACGCTACAGAAGGCAGTCTGTGGACATACTACTAGAAATGGTCAGAGATGAGGGATATACTAAAAAAATGAGTTTGGAGACCCGCTACAGGACACATACCGGGGAGATGCTATCCAGCAAACCTCTTACTTTGAGTGGATCCTTAGTCTGGGGTCCAGTGTGGGGAGCTGTGCTGTGTGGAGCTCCATCCATATGTGCATTGCTTGTACAGCTCCCTTGCACTCCCTGTAGGAGGTGCCGGGAGCCAGAATGTGACATCACTCTGATCCAGGCACCTCTACACGGCATGCAAGGGAGCTGTAAGCAATGCACGTATGCTGCTAGCTCCCTCGCAGCCATACCCTCAGCCCACCCCACCTCAGGCTGACATATACGGCACGGGCAGCATATTTTGAATGGCTGCTCGGCACAAGAACTGACAGTGCTGCGCTATAGGGAGGCTGAGTAGCCTCTCACCTAGCACGACGACCCACAAGTTGAGAACCACGGTTTTAGGCTATACACAGACTTTAACACTGAGCTATGCAGGAAATATACAAGTATGTCAAGCATGAACTGCAGCCTTGTTTAGCAGTCTACCATTCTTCAGTCTATTAAACAATCCTTGAGGTCCTCACCAGCAACATCTGTGGCTACCAGAATGGGGACGGCCTTCTTCTTGAAGTCTGTGATGACTTTGTTCCTCTCACTCTGGTCCATATCTCCGTGAAGAAGGCCCAGAGAATGGTCCTCTAAGCGTAGGTTACTGGCCAGCTCATCAGCATTGGCCTTCTTGGTGACGAAAATAACAACGCTGCCTGTAGATGTGAACTCTACCAGTCTGCGGGTCATCCAGCTCCACTTCTCTGGGCCAGATGGGAAAATCTCAACCACCTGGGTGATGTCTTCATTGGCCTGAAGTGAAAAAACCAAATAGTTATATTTAGAGGTGCACAGAAATTGAATTTTCAGACCAAACCAACAAAAATTCCCATCCTTTATTCATTCATCCTAAATTTTGATTTTATTTTTATTAATTTTTTTACTTTACTGTCGGGGGCTCTGGGGAAATATCCGGAGTCTAAACTGACCCCTGATATTTCCCTTTTAAAAAAGAAAAAAAAAGAGATGGGAGGACACAGAACCCTACATCTCTTCTTCTGCAGCCCATTATGAATGAATGGGAATCCTCTATACCAAGTGCTCCTGTCCATTTATAAACTGTGGCGATAGCATGAGTTACTATGTCCACAATCATCAATGAACAGGAAGTGATGTAGAGCACTTCCTGTTCATTCATAACTGGGGACACAGTAAGCATACTTTTCTCACAGCTATTTACAAACCCTTAGTGTACACTTAGATGAGTGCTTGTAAGCCGCTCTCCATCCTGACTCCCCAGCCTGTCACAGGAGGCCGAGCGGGCAGTGTGGGAGGAGAGCTCGGCCACCTGACAGCTGACTCCTTCCCCCACACCGCTCGGCATCCTGACTCTCCGTCTGTCACAGTTGCCTAGCGGGGCGGTGCAAGAGGACAGCTGTCCCCGCCCCGCTTAGCCTCCAAAAACCTTCTCTCCTCCCCGCTGAAAGCCGGTCTCTGTCCCCTCGGATTTTGCCCAAAGTACCATTCTTGGCCAAAATTTCAGTGCATCCCTTGTTACATTGTAATCTGTTTATGAAAGCGTCCAAAAAATGAAAAAAAAAGAAGGGCCGTTTCTGTACATTTCCCAGAGCAAACAAATTCTGCCAGTAAGGGACGGAGGGGCAAAGATTTTCTTTGGTCACTGGATTTACACCAGAGTACATGTCTGGGCAAAGTTCTAGCTGACTTCAGGCACACTTCACAATTGCCCTGCCTACCAACTTCAATTAAAAGTAATATAGCCAAAACTTTTTTTGGCTATAGTTCTCTTTTGGATCATACAAGTGCATTTGCCAATGCCCCAAAGTCAGCATATGGCAGGCTACTGCCCACTAAATGCTGACAGCACAGAGCTGTGCTGTAGCCGGGAAAGATGTCCGACAGCTGGCTCTGCATCTCTAGAGCTAGAGCCAGCTGTGTCTGTCCCCTGCCCTCTTTGTTCCTCCAATGAGCGAATCTTATATATCGGTGGTCACCTCTCCCCTCTTTTACATATGGCTGGTGTAAAGAAGTTGGTCTGAAGGTACAGAATGGTGTCACAGTGATGTTCTGCGGTGCTGAATGTCAGCTGAGTCCGTCCTAGCCAACCCACCCTTTGACCATGGAAACAAGTGATGGTAATGAGGGAAGACGAGGCTATATCAGGCCCTAAATATCACCCAAACACACCAGTCTTGATCAATGGAAGGAGGAAGAGCCTTACCCTCCTCCACTAATCTATGGGGAACAACTACATTCTGCATGCTTGTGGACAAACACCTTGCTGGTCATTTATATCAAACCTCTTTTACTAAAGTCACATAGGGAATGAGCTCACCTCTCCGATATCTCCCTGAACTATGCGGATGGGATCGATCAGAATATCTCTGGCTAATCTTTCAATCTTTTTCCGGAATGTGGCACTGAACAGGAGAGCTGAGACAAGGAAATGACAACAGAACAGATCAGCTGTAAGGATAACAGACAGAAAAGCACAAACCTCTTCAAAATCTGCCTGCCCAATACTCTGTGGTGGCAGACCCTATGGCCAGAGGCTGGTATATCTCACTGGAGTTCAGATTTTAAGCTAAAGTTTTATATGTTGCAGCCCATTAGTCCTTAGCTATAGTGGGTGCATTAGTTTAAGTACATATTCGGCAAGTACAATACATACCTTCTATTCCTTGTCTATTGAGGGACACAGGGAATGTTTCACCTTTAGCATATGCCGCCACCTGCAGGAGGATTGAACACTGGCAAACAAAAAAACTGTAGTCCAGCCCAGAACAACACTTGTCTCTAAATCCAGCAACTGAACAAGTGTGTCTCCAGTTATCTTTTGACAACTACAAACTACCTTCCCTCTATGTAATGGAGGTGATTAAAAGGAGGTAAAATTTGTAGTTCAAACCAGGTGAGCAGCCCAGGGTGACAATGCTGCTCTTCTACAGATACAGTACAGTGAGTGAGCGCTGTCACCCTAGTACAGAAAATGTGCTCAACTGGAAGGATCACTAGGTGAAAATAAAAAGGGGAAAAAAAAACCAAACCTAAAAACGAATGCAGCCACAACATCTTTAGACATAAACATATTTAGATATGTTTAAAGGAGAACTATGAGGTGAGTAATTTCCACTCATCCTCATAGTTAGAGCCGACGTGTGACATTGAAACTTTCACATGTCGGCTCTATTGATCAGGAAGTGAGCGAACACATACCGTCGCTCGCTCACTTCCCGATCATCTCCCTGCTGAGAGTGGTGACCGCCAGTCCTCTCTGATCCTCCAGCACTGACTGGAGGAACAGACAAGGGAGGGGGCGGGCACAGCTGGCTCTGCCTCTAAATAGGCAGAACACGCTGTCAATCAGCCAGCTGGGTGGATCTCGACAGTATTGTCGGGATCTGTCCCGGCTGCGGCACTCTCAGTATATCGTATATATACACTGACCATTGGGTGACGGGAGGACGCTAGTATATGTCCTCCCATGACCCTTTTCAACTTTCTGGCTGACTGAGGCACTGGTGATGCAGCCCTGGCCCCTCATGCATCCTGATGCACCCCGGTAAGGTTACATCACCTGTGTCTTCCTAGAAAATCTCATCTGTAAACTCCAAAATCCTGCAACATCTCAGGGGAAAGGCATTGCTTCCCCCTCAGATGATATGATGGTCACATGTTGCAGGAGGGAGAACAAGTTCAAGCTCATAGAATCATCTGCCCTTAGTCAAAATGGCCACCGTGACAAATGGGGAAGAAAAGGTATGTAAACAATAAAAAGTCTACAGGTAACCAAGTAGCCGTTTGTAGATTGTCATCATTAAACGCTTCTAAAGATGTCTTTGTTGTCATTTTTAGGATAAAGTTGTATTTCTTCTTCAAGTCACTCACGGCTGGTCACATGGTACTTACTTTGTCTGTCTGGTCTTACATGGTTGGCGATGGATCGGACCTGGTATTCTAAAAGAAAAGATGCAGGTTTTATAACAGGTTAACCCTTCCGTACTCTATCCAAAAGGCATAAAATAGACATGCTTTAATCAGCTAGAAAAAGAAAATGCAGTTCCTATAGACTAGTAGCCTTACCAAAGCCCATGTCAAACATCCGATCTGCCTCATCAAACACAAGGTAAGTGACACGCTGCAGGTTGGTGGCTTTTTTCTTCACATGGTCAATAAGACGACCCTAAGGAGAAGACAGATCTACTAACTGATGTGGAAGAAAGAACTGGGGTTACTATAGCAACAAAGCTGTCATAGGTTATACAGTTTGATAAGGCATCACAAAGTTTCAGGGTCAATTTTTATTAAACCTCCCTTATTACCACAGCACTTGTTCTCACAGATATCATGCATACAAATACTCGGATGGTATGTGATTGTTTTCACAGCAGCACTAAGCCTGTACCGTCAATGATCATGCAGCTTCTGCTTTCTAACAGTAATCCGTGCCGGGACTTACCGGAGTGCAGACCACAATCTCTGCACCTTCCTGCAGAGCCTTAGCCTGTTCCCACATGCTGCCACCTCCATACACAGCCACAGAGCGCAGGTTGTAGGCCTTTCCAAACCGTTTACATTCACTGTGGATCTGAAAGAGACAAATAAAAAAAAAAAAAATCACATATCAGGACTAGGGATTAGGGCTGCAACAACTAAATCGACTATAATCGATTGAAAGAGTTGTCAACTTTTTCAATCATCGATTAATCGGCTTCTGGTTAGTTGGTCCTGTTTACGGCTCCACACACGCTGCGCGCCGCACCTCCTCCCACCTCACGCTCGCTGCTGCTAGCCGCATCCACACGCCGCACCTCCTCCCCGCCTCACGCTCACTGCCCTCCCACATCCACGATCGGCACAGGGACGCGGGGAGAAGAAGTAAGAAGGAGCAGGTGTGGGGGGATGACAGCCGCCGATAGACAGGCCCGATCTCAGAAGCAAGTTGCTATATTGCTGGCATTTGTTGTATTCCTATATAGCTGGTGGTATTCTGCATTTCGCTGTATAATATATTATTGCTGGGATTTGTTGTACTTCTCTGTAGCTGGTGGTATTCTGTATTGTGCTGTATAATGTACTATTGCTGGGATTTGTAGTCCTCTATAGCCGGTGCCATTCTGCATTCATTGCTATATAATTTTACACTTTTAATTTCACTATATTGCACACCACTTTTTTTTTCTATTTTCTATTTTACTTCCACCTCTGCAAGCTTGCTCCTGTGATGGACTGCAATCTCAATACAAACCAGTAGCCCCATCACTGGAGCCATTTTTAAAAATGCATTTTATTTTTTAACCGATTAATCGGCTAACTAATCGATTTTGAAAATAATTGTCAGCTGCAGCTCTACTAGGGATGCACCGATACTAGTAGGTGCCGATACCGAGTATTTGGGCGAGTGCTCATACTCGTCCAAATGCTCCGATACCGGAACTGCCAGTCAGAGGGAGATCTCCGTCTGACCGGCAGTGCCAAGGGAGTGTGAAGCCGGCTTCCCTTCCAATCATGAAGCCGAGAGGTGGGTTATGACCTGCCTCTGATTGGCTAGGAAGCCAGCTTCACTTGTTGGTAGGCAGCCTGGCTTCCTAACCAATCAGGAAGCCGGACGGCACCTCATGACTTGCGGCCCGGCTTCCTGATTAGTCAGAAAGCCAGGCAGCCTCGGTGAGTGAAGCCAGTGTTCTTTCGCTAGAAGACCGGCTTCACAGGCAATCAGGAAGCCAGGCGACGGGTCATTATCCACCGCCCGACTTCCTGATAATCTGGGCACACGGAAACGGTACTCAATATCAGCGAGTACCAAAAAAACACAACATATTGGTACTTGTTCTGTATACAGAAACAATTGTATTACCGTATATACTCGAGTATAAGCCGAGTTTTTCAGCCCATTTTTTGTGCTGAAAAATGCCCCCCCTCGGCTTATACTCGAGTCAGCGTCTCGAGCAATGAAGCATACCTAATCAGGACCATTGATCCTCTGCTAATCTGTTCTTCTCTTGGAACTAAGCCACATCCTGACATTTGTCAACGTCAAAGACCCTAAGCCTACTGACTGCTGAATTACAGGAGAGGGGCTCAGCATAGGAAAGCCCTATGCTGAGCTTGAAGAAAGGACTCTGAATACAGCCTGGGTCTAAGATCCAAGGGGTTCCATGGGGACATAGGCATTGATTTCAAGACTTAACACAGGAGGCAATTCAACACTGCATTTGACAGGCCATGCAGTCAATAGTCAGGATACATGATGGACCGGCGCAGGTTCACTTTAAATAAAAAATTTCACTAGCCAGGTTACATGATAGACCCAGGAGATCCAGTTAAGCTCTTCGATGGATCTAAAAAAATGAATATTTACTAATAGAATAAATAAAGTGGTTTGACCTTTAAGGAGGCAGACATTGCCTGTGGGTTTGGGAAATTGGCAAAAATGTCCATCCAAGAGGCAATGTTGTCTACACAAAGGAATAAGAAGAGACCCCATTGTTAGACAAATGGTACACCAAATAAGAATCCTACTACATCCGCAGTACCTGCTGGCACAACTCGCGGGTGGGACACACAATGACTGCGATGGGACCGTCCCCTGTCTGTAGCTCCTTCTGGTCCATAATGTGTACCAACATCGGCCAGATGAAAGCAGCTGTCTTACCACTCCCAGTTTTGGCAATGCCAATCAGGTCGCGTCCGCTAAGTGCCACTGGAACACCCTGCAGAAATAAAAAGAAAAAAAAAAACGTACATAAGGCCGCGGCTCTAGTGCCAAAGGACTGTAGAGTACAAATGGGAGAGGTGACCACCTATCAGCCGTGCCATTTCAGTTTAGCTGCAGTAACGTCATAGTATTCTACAGAACAGGCTACATTTCTAAGAACACCACTTTAAGCATATCTGAACCCAAAAACAAAAATGTCATATACAGCAGCGTACCACTCCTTAGATGTAGCGGCTGCATTCATTTTTATTTTCCAAGCTAAGAGCATTTTCAGCAAGGACAGGAGAAGAGTCTATGCAAGTTTTGCCTAGATTACCACTTCCTATGGTATACAGCGTTCTATGTACAAGTTTAACACCAATCTACCAGTTACCAAACCTAGCCGTAGACTGAATGGAGGAACAATTAGGTCACTTTTGTGCTGCGTGCTAGTTTACTATTTCTTTTACCATTTTTGGATTTCAGAACCTCAATAAAATCATAATAATCTCATACTCTCAATAAAAGAAACATTTTAAAGAAAAGGTTTTGCTGAGCTCACATGGCACTGGATGGGTGTTGGCTTCGTGTATTCAGACTTCCTAATCTGGTGCATGAGCTGTTCATCAAATCCAAAGTGAGCAAAGCTGCTGGCTGGACGTGGTGGAGCAGCTCCAGAGACCTGCGTTTACCAAGAAGAAATGTTTAAACCAACAAACTTACGGTTTTCATTTAAAAAAACAAAACAGTCTCCACATCTTTTGTTCTCACCCGCAAGTTCAGCTTGTGCCTCAGCTCTACAACCTGCTGGGGAGTCAGGGCTGTGATCTCCTCGTGTTCTTCATAAAAGTTCTTCTCGAAAGGTGGATACTCTATCTGCATAGAAAAAGCCGACATCCACAGGTCAACAACTCTGAGGAATGGCCTCTAGACAGGAAGCAGCATGGGACATTGTGCCCTTACCTCGGAATGATCCATAATTGGAAGGGGGTCAATAATACGCTTAGTTGTGCTGGCCATGGGGTTGCCATCACTATCATACTCAAGGTTGTCCTCCTCTTCCTCGGGGATAAGCCCAGCAGTTGGGTTCTCAGCCATAAACCGGAAGTAAGCTTCCTGCAGGTTAAAGGAAATAAGGATGATTAAAATGGGGGAGTGGATATTCGCTCTCATCCACCCCCCTTCCTCAAGCAATAGCCAACAGATGTCAGAGTCCGTACAGCAGTAAAATCATGAGAGGTTCTAACACTTTCCCGCTCTTTACAAAAGTTTAAAAAGAAAGTTTGGCTGGGGATAAACTTTAATGAAGCGTCCGTGGTCAGAGAAATGGAAACTTAGCCCCTCCTATATCGATCAGCAGGGGTACCGCCAATACCCTCTAAGGCTGGCCATACACGGATCTTTTTTTTCCTTCAACCCGCAGGCTGAACGAAAAAAAGTTGACCCGATTCCTCCATCAACACTAACAGCGTGTCGATCGAGGAATCTCGCTGTATACATTGTATTTTACAGGTGCCGCCAGCACCTGTCAGGATACCCGACCAGAGCGGGCAGCTCATTGGCTGCCACCTCGGATTGATCGAAGATTGTCCGGCCGGCTCCTTCCATCAGCTGATCGAGGGATGCCGATCGAAAGGGTGCCAACAGCGGCACACACTGTGCGAATTACAGCCGTTTTCTTCACAATAGCAAATATCAGCTTTTTTTTAATATTTTTGAATTGGAGCCGACAAGAATATCTCTGAGGATATCAGAGACGCTTCCCCCCAGCCACCCATGCAAACCCTCTTTTTCAATAGCTTCCAGACGCTGCCCACAATAGAAACTTCTAGGTCACAAGATAGTTTAGTAGATTTTAGATTGTAAGCCCTCACGGGCAGGGCCCTCCTTACCATCGTGTCTTAAATTGTATTGTGACTGTAATGTCTTCCTTATATTGTTAAGCGCTGTGCAAACTATTGGCGCTATATAAATCCTGTATAATAATAATAATACATGCACCTCTCCTCTGTGATTCATTCTGCTGCGTAACCTGGTCTCCCTGCTATATGAATGTACTTCACAAGATCTGCTGTGAGCCTCCACAAAGCTAGTCCCACCATCTGCTAATGGCATTTTTAACATATTCACAAAGGGAGATTATAAAAGATTTGAATGGAAGCCACTCTAAATGCTTACAGAACAAATCCTGGGATTTGTTTCCTTTAACTCTTCACTGCTTCCCCCACTATGGCAGTGCAGTCAAAGAATGAAGACCTTGTGGCCACAGCTTTGTGCTGCAGACCCTTTGGTGCATCACTAAAATGATGTGAAATAGTTTTTGGGTTAAACTTTCACCAGCACGCCTTGGTATATAGTGATAGTCTTGTTCTTTATCCATATAAACAAACAGGCATGCACCAATACACTACAGTACCCTGAATGAACTGTGGGCAAGGCTTTAAAAAGGTATGCCTACAGGAGTTCTACACTGAGCTAATAATTACAGCACCATGAAACGTTGACTCCAACGTGCAATATTTCTGACAGAACGCAGCCGGGAAAACATTTGGGCGATGTCGATGCTGCCTTAATACCACACACTGATCATACTTGTGCCAGATTTTGGAGCCTACAGTTCCTGTACCCATCGCACTCAGAGCCGCTGCTCCAAAAATGGAAGGTGGGTGCAGCAGGTGGCTTCCGACAAAATATAAGGAAAGGATGGACACCGGCACTCCAAAGCAAGTTCAGTACGTGTTTATTAACGTACTAGTTGCAAGTAGAACACTTTAAACAACGTTTCAGGGTCTCACAGGATCCTCTTCATCAGGCAAACACGTGATTAACTTCTTTGCCTGATGAAGGGGATCCTGCGAGACCCCGAAAAGCTGTTGTGTTCTACTTGCAACTAGTACGTTAATAAACACGTACTGAACTTGCTTTGGAGTGCCGGTGTCCATCCTTTCCTTAGAATCTGGAGCCTGGCACAAGCAATCAAACAGAATCACATAAGCCACGTAGAGACCATATTGTTATGAATTAGTCAATATGGCTCCCAACTAATCCATACACATGCAATGAGAGAAGTAGTAAGGTACAAGTCACTGGGCTGCACTACTAATCAGTTCGTTTAGGATGCATATGTAGTGACCAAATATGGCTGCTGCCTTGTATGTACACAAAGGAAAACGAATAACAGAAACTAGGAACTCAAAAATAGTATTCTTGTTGTTTCCATCAAGTTGATCACATTTATATGTTGATCTGAGTACTCACAAGTATATCACTAACACAGACAAGCTGTGCATCTCTCTCTGTGTTGCCATCACAGATCAAATATCTACTTTGGATAAAAGAAAAACTTACCTGGTCATCTTCTTCCTCAATGTCGTCCCGGATACCCCTGCAAGAAACAAGAGGAAAAACAAACTTCCCTGCACTCAGTCCACATACTCAGTCTTGAAACAACCTACGTGTTTAGTGTAGTGTCTGTATAGTAGTAATATAAGAGTATGGCAGAAGTGTGTGCACCAGGGGGAGATCCTGACAAGTCCAAGCAAGAACCGTACATGCAGCAGGGGCAGGGCTGTCTGCAGAACTACAAGTACCAGAATGGTATGCATGCTTGCATTTGCAGCTCACAGGAAAGCTACAGACCACCTATCTGAGGTGTATCCCTTTCCTGCGTTCATAGTACATGTGCCAAGCACAGAAAACAGTTATGTACATGCATGCTTGGATGTGGTAGCCTGAGCTGAATATGGTGCCATGGATTTGCAGTGATAGAAAGACACACAAAAAAAATGTAGTGTGTACAGCATGTGTGCTTCCATTCTCAGCAACCAGAGAATAACCGATTGGCCAGAATAATCGAAACTGATATTTCAGGTTTGAGTAGATCCTGACAGCTCGATTCATTCATCAGTGTTAAAGGGAATTTGTCCCCATTCCCAGCTCTGCCCAACTGCTCCCTGTTATTTTATAGCTGGGGGGTCCTAAACTAGACACTCACAGTTATCAGTGTTTGCCGTTCTTTAACAACAATGAGAGCCATGCTTTATGTAGACTCAGCCACATCCTCATGCCTGGGCGCTTCAAGTGGCCCTTTTGATTTCATGATTCAGACTTGCTCCTCAGCTATGCTCCAACCTGCTGATGTACAGTGGCCACGCATAAGGCTTTATTTTTTTTTCTGACTCTTAAGTCATGTGGGTCTCCCTAAAAAGTAAATTCCCCAGGACCACTACACTTCTTAGACAACACTAGGATTATGTGGCGGTGTAGTAGTCAACAGTTCTCTGTGGAGGTATTTAAAGTTTTTACTTTAGTTTGCGTTAAATTGGAGTTGCGCGGCACAGTACTAGACCTTTGAAAAAAAATTTAGTGGGTGCTCCAAGTGATTGCTATGGATGGTGCCATGCCAGAAGCAGATCAGATCAGAAGGCCCTAAGCCACCAGCCTTCAAATACATTATTACATATTTATTGTGAAGACTTCGCAGCAAAGTCAAAAGACACCGATCTGTTGGGGCCTCACAGGGGCGACAGTGTCACTTTGAGGAAGGGGCACGGCTTTATTTTTTAGGAAGAGCAATGTAACTTCACTGATTGGCATTTTCTTGTAGTCCACATTTCAAACAGAAATGAGACAGCAAGAACAGGAACTCTTGCATGAAGTGCTCAGTGTTCAAGTAGGCAGCATATAACTGGGCTCCCAAAACTAAAGTTGTAATGATCTGTTTGAATGGATCTTAACATTTAGACTAAGGGCCCAGTCATACCATATCCAGTGCATTCCGCACCCAGAACGCACTGGATTGCATAGGTCAAGCAGGGCAGCGTCCTAGGGTGGGAGGGGGCGTGTCAGTGCCATTCAGCGCAGACACCCCCACTTCGGCAGTGCAATCGCTTGCACCAGAATGCGAGGTACAGGAATGCCCTTTATTCCAGTGCAATCGGAAAAAAATAGTGCATGCAGCATTTTTTCCTGATCGCACTGCCCCAGACTGGAGGGCATTCCTGTACCTTCCGTTCCGATGCAGGCGTTCGCCCTATGGGCGAGTCTGTGGTGCCAATGACATGAATGGCACACCCCTTCATGCTGACCAGCTTGATCAATGCGATCCAGTGCGTTCCGGGCTCAAACCGCACCGGAAGGCACTGGATATGGTGTGACTGGGTCCTGAACCAGAGAGAAAACACGACATATACACATACATATATACATATACATATACACATATATATATATATATATTTATATATTTTAT